CAAAAACTCATCCCGCAACCCCCCCCACGACTTTATTCCATGGTCCCCCCCGACATGTGCACTCCCCTCCTTTAAAAAGCAACCTCCTCTGACTCCAAAATTGACCCGACTGAGGAAGAGGAGGAGGTTTTGGAGGAGGGAGAGGTTGTTTGTGTTGGTCAGACCGACGCTGAATCCAACTTTTTAGGGGAATCAGACTTGTCGATACTGGAAGTCAACTGCCCCGCCAAAACGAGTAAAAATGGGCCCAACCGGGAATTGAACCCGGGACCTCTCGCACCCAAAGCGAGAATCATACTACTAGACCATTGGGCCACGATAGTTTTTTAAAATTGTTAACCAGGATTAAATTTTTTTGTTTATATGCAGAAAGAGAAGAGAAGGTCTTCAAACTTTCTGAACGTTCTCCAAACGCGCCTCCAGATAATTGGGCCACATGTGATATTTATTCTGTGGGTTGCTCTCCCAAGCCTCCGTTCCTTCCCTTTTGTGTAAATAATAATATTAACATTCACATCTTTTTGCTTTGTCATAATGGATGGATGAAAAGCAGCTTGGCTGCACGGCAGCACCACGCACGTGCTTGGCACTGATTTCCAAAAAGCCACTCGAAATGTTTTCGTTCACTCCGTCGGATAGCGACGACGAGGCATCGCCTTTGCTTGCAGCAGCAGCAGGGCCTAGTGTCGTTGCCGCACCCGCCCTCGTCGCAGCAGCAGCCAGTGAAGGCGCGCGCACCAAGACGCCGCGCACGCTGACTTCGCGGCGCCGCACTGCTTTGTTTGTGTTTTTGTTTTTTGGACTTGTGCTGTTCTGCGCTGCGCCGTGGCTGCGCGGCGACAGCAACGCGCCTGTCGAGGCGCCAACCACGCCTCCTGTCGAAGCACGCCCGCCGCGCAACGTATCCTTTTCGCGCCGCGCCATCCACGTCGATGGCTCCCCACAACTCCTCACCACCGCAACAATCCACTACCCGCGCTCTGACCCCTCAGTGTGGCCCAGTCTTCTGCACCGCATCCGCCTCGCAGGAAACAACGCCATCGACACCTACGTCTTCTGGAACCTGCACGAGCAAAAGGAAGGCGAATACGACTTTGAGAACGGCATCGCGAACCTGCCCCTCTTTCTCAAACTGGCTCAAGAAGCCGATCTCTACGTCGTTCTCCGTATCGGGCCCTACGTGTGTGCAGAATGGAATTTCGGCGGATTCCCCGTCTGGCTCATCAACAAACCCGGGATGGAGCTCAGGACATTCAACCAGCCCTTCATGGCCGCAATGAGTCGCTTTATTGAGAAAACATTGGAAGTGGTGCATGAGCAGCTTGCTCCGTGAGTTTTTTGTTTGTTTTGACTTGTTTCGAATGCTTGGCTGTTGACGTGTTTTCACGAACCATTTCGCCGAATTTGAGTGATTCACTCCAGCTAACATATCCTCACCCACGCACACTAACAGACAAGGAGGTCCCATCATTCTCCTTCAAATCGAAAACGAATACGGCAACATTGCCAACGACATGGGCCCCCCCGGTTACAAGTACATTCAATGGGCCGGAGAGTACGCCAAATCGCTCAATGTCGGAGTTCCTTGGATCATGTGTCGACAGGATAACGTTGCCACGGTGTGTGATTTGATTTATATTTGGGGGGGGGGGGGTCATTGTGGGAACCAGCTAGCGAGCGCTAACACGTGCACACTGTGGCGCGTGTGGGGTGGTCGACAGAACCCACTGGATGTCTAGACCTGAGAAATTTGTCGTATCGCTTCCCATGTCGAAATCGAGGAGCAAGAACCTTACCGCTTGTTTTTTCTCGTTCCGGGATATTTGCGAGTGTCGCGTGTGCGTGGGCGTGGACATGTGCGCCCGCGCGCTGTGGCATGGGAACCCGGGAATATGAAGCTTTGCTTGCTTACAATTCCATCAAAAAAAAAGGTCATCAACGCCGAAAACGGATTCTACGCCGACGCCTGGATCGAAGGACACCACAACCGCTTCCCGGACCAACCAGCCCTCGTGACTGAACTCTGGACGGGATGGTTCCAAAAATTTGGACAGCCCAAGTTTACGCGGTATGCCGAAGACCTCGCGTTTGCTTCGGCGCGGTTTATTGCCAAGGGAGGGACGTATGTTGGGTATTACATGTAAGTTTTGGTCTTGATGTAGCGCAATCCCTCTCGTCATTGTTTCTAAAAAATAAACGGCAGGTGGCACGGAGGAACCAATTTCGGCAAATGGGGCAGCGACTTCAAAACCACCTCATACGACTACGACGCGCCTCTCAACGAATATGGGTTCCCAAACAACCCGAAACACCAACTCCTCGCGGACCTCCACCACACACTCCACGCGCACTCAGCCCTTCTGCTCGCGAATGAACCGACGCGTGTGGTGTTGGGGAAACATGCCGAAGCGCACGTGTATGGCAATATGGAGTCACATGCGCTTGTGTTTTTGTCGAATGACGATAGTGGGGTCGATGTGGCGGTGGAGTTTGGGGGGAAGCGGGTTGTGATTCCGCGCTGGACTGTGTTGATTTATCGGCAGAGCCCGGTGGATGGATTCACGTTCCTTTATTCGACGTCGAGTCCGAAACCCGTGTTATCGCTTCCCATGCCGGAATCGAGGAGTGAGAATCTTTCAACTTCGCTCGGCAAACTCACGAATGTTGGTGATCTGGATGGGTCCTCGTCGGCGGTGCAGCGTCTTGTTGAGCTTAGCGCATTGCGATCGAATCCATCCACGACGGATTTGCATATTCTCCGACCTTCGACCATCTCGCACATTTTCGAACCGATTGGAATCTACGACCCCGCGACGGCTGTGACGGCTACATCTCCATTGGAGCAGATTCGTGCCTCTGTAGATGCGAGTGATTACATGTGGTATGTGCGTGAAGTTGTGACGAAAGGGGATGTGAAGGCTGTGCAGTTTGAGAGTGTGGAGGATGTGGCGAGTGTGTTTTGGGATGGGGAGAAGGTGCATGAGGGTTTGATTGTGGGTGCGGGAGGGGTAGGTGTTGGGGTGAAGAGGGAGGTTGTGGTTGATTTGGAGGAGGGGGTTAAGAAGGGAGGTGGGCGTCGAGGTGGGCATGACAAAAAGAAGGCGCCGCCACCACCACCACCCAAGAAGGGAGGGGAGGAGGAAACGACGCATGAGTTGGCGGTGTTGGTGAGTGTTGCGGGGATTTGGAATTATGGAGCTGACATGGGGGATGTGCGGAAGGGGATTTTGGGGAAGGTGGTTGTGGATAAGCAGGATGTGACGAAGGGGATGTGGGTGCATCAGGTTGGGTTGAAGGGGGAGCATTTGAAGGTGATTTTACTTTTTGAATTTGAGAGTGGGTTGGGGCGGTACTCACAAAGTTTATTTAGTACACTCTCGGCAGCAAATCGGAGAACCTCATTTGGCAGCCTTTTGTGACGCCGTCGTTGACACCAATCAATACTCCTCTCGTTTGGTACCTCCTCAAATTCTCGAAACCGGACCTCATGGCGCTCCATGCGCAAGCGCAAGCGACGCAACTCCTTGCCAATCAATATACCGCGTCACACTTGTCCACAGCCGAACCAATCACCACTTTTGTTCTCAACCTCTCAACCATGACGCGCGGCCTCGCGTTCGTGAACGGCCATGCCGTGGGGCGGTACTGGAACCTTGCGGCCACGTGTCCGAAAGCTGGACTGCCGTGTCGGTACCCGGATTCTGCGGTGGATGGCGGGGAGACGTGTGCGGAAGGGTGTGGGTATGCGAGTCAGGGGTGGTATCATGTGCCTGTGGCGTGGGTTGTGGAGGGGGAGTGGGATGATGTGGAGGTTGTTTTGGTGGAGGAGAGTGGTGGGGATCCTGGCGGGGTTGGGGTGGGGGTTGTGAGTGGGTGAGTGAGTGGAATGTTTTTTTTTGTTTGTTGGAGGAGGTGTAGTGTGGGGGAGGGGCGGGGGTTTTTTTTGTATATTTTTTTGGTGTTTTGGTTTGGAATAGTGGAATTTTCTGTTTTTATGATTTGTGAGAAAGGTCCTCCGGTTACTGATTGGGGGCAGAAAAGTTACTCAGGGCTGGTCGTGTATTATATAATTAGCTACCATATTGTCAATTCATTGGTCGAGATCAATTGGTGGCAATCGTACTGTATTTTTTGAAGAAGAAGCGCGTTTCGGAATTGTCAGATATGCAAATCTTTGAGAAAAAAAAAAGAGGTGACTCACGGCTAAATCGTCGCCT